CGCAGTAAAAGTATGAATAGGACAAACATTCCCAGAAAAGAGTTAACAAACAAGGAATGACCAAAAGGCATTCTGAAATCATGCTTCTTTTTCACCCAGAGGTTTTGAAAGAGAAAACCCTAATCCTAATCAGTCTATATAAAAGAGCATATTGTTCATATCAAGAGGGAGGCGAAAAAAGAAGGAAAAAAAACCTAAAAAATTCATACAACAAAACCTAACTGTGAGCGCATCTTCGAGGTGTTTGGAGGCCTCAGGCTAAGGCTATCGATCGTTGAGCTTGAAAAGAAGAAAGAGCGAAAAAGGAGTCAGAAAGTTACCTTCACCGGGAAAGCTTCCGGTCGGATTCGCTCCGATTCAGGTATTTCTCTTCTCCTCTTTGAACTATTGGTGCCTGATTTGAGCTTCTTGTATGGTTTAGCTCATTTTTCTCCTTTATTTTGAGTGGTTTCCGCCATTTTGTGTTGAGTCTAGGATTTCGTTTGAGTTTGGGATTAGAGATTTTGAGGACGAATTAGGAGAAACCGAGTCCGGATTTAGACTCTGGATGCATTTTCGTGTGAGTTTAAGGTTTTAATTTGGAGTTTGGATGAAGAAGAGGGGGGCGCCGCCGTCAACCCCCATCTTCTCCGGCGAGTTAGGATTCAGGCGAGTTAAGGGGTGATTGAGAGTTCTGAGAAAAAACGAAGAGTGAGCCTTTTGGTCTGTGTTTTCCGTTTCTAGGTTTTGTTTACTTTTTTGTCATTTTCAAAGTAATCCTTGATGATAGTGTGATGTTCCCCATGTGTCTGTTCATGGTTTGATGGGAATCCCCTTCCCAAAACCTCTCTGGACGATAGACCCTTTTGTTTTGTTTATTAATATTATTTTCTTACTTTAGTTAATATATTTTATAAAAAATAAATGCTTCAACAATAATTTTATCAATTTCCTGTTAAAAGAACTTCAAATTTATTTTATTAAAAAATTTATTTAATAATAATTAATTTATTTAATGATTAATATTATTAAATAATTGATTTTAATTTGATTAACTGTTTTTTTTATTAAAAAATTAGCTTTTCTTTTAAGTTCTAAGACAATGCAAAAATGATTAATCTTAATTTTATTTTCTATTTAATAATTATCTTAATAATTTATCTTTTCTTTAAATTCCAAATAATCTAAAGCAAATTAATTTGAATCCTTTTATTTTACTAATCTTAGATAATTAGGTTATTATTTAAATTGGCATGCCTTGATTAAGCATATCCTTTTATTTAATTTACGACTTTTTTTGTGATGTTTGTGTATGTTTTATACTTCAATTACATTTATGTTGTTCACATGCTTGTTCAAACCTTTTAAAAAAGAAACTAATATCTTGACTTAACGTCAAACCTTTTTTTAAACCCCATTGTAAGCCGATTGTTTTTACGATCACCATCGACCTTATAGCCTCCTCTTGGGCTTTGTACAACGACGCTTGTTACGCACTTCACACATAACATCGAAATCAAATCTTTTTTTTCCAAACTTGATCCAACATCAAGTATCTTAAAACAAGTGTAATTAATCATCAACTTCCATTAGCACTTAACCTTATCAAATCCCCCCATCCTTGTAAGTCGAGTGCTTTGACCTCGCCATCGACCTTACCCTATACCGTAGGGCCTCCTATCCTTCAAATCCCACTTTGCTCTTTCCACGTAAAATTCAAACCTTGATTCATTTCAAGCAATTTTCTTTAAGTCAAACTAAAATACTTAATAACTATTTAAACACAATTTTAATATTAGATGAAAAAGAGAGAGTCCCAAGTCTTCGGGTCTCTCTCCCAATTGTTTGGGTCCGAGGAGTCTTTCTTAAGCCCGAGCAATTGTCTTCTAAAAAACCCTTCTAAAAACGATAAATTTATTCGAGCCTATTTTTCTAAACACCTAGGATGAAAAAGAGAGTGTTCCAAGTCTTTGGCTTACTTTCCCAGTTATTTAAAATTCAAGAAGTCTTTCTTGAGCTTTGAGTAATCGTCATCCGATTAATATACTCTAATATTATTAAACATCTTTCATAATACTAGATGAGAAAAGAAAGTGTTCCAAGTCTTTGGTTCGCTTTCCCGATTACTTGAGGTCCGAGAAGTCTTTCTTAAGCTTCGAATAATCTTCATCTGTTAAAATACCTTAACCACATCCTATCTTTCAAATTCCATTCAAACAATTCCTTTTGTGATGAAAAAGAAAGTGTTCCAAGTCTTTGGTTCGCTTTCCCGATTACTTGGGACCGAGGAGTCTTTCTCGCGCTTCGAATAATTGTCATCCGATTAACCTACTCGAACCACATCTTATCCTTTTGCAATTGAGGTTGAAAAAGAGAGAGTTCCAAGTCTTTGGTTCGCTTTCCCGATTACTTGGGTCCGAGAAGTCTTTCTTAAGCTTCAGGTAATCGTCACCTCCAGCTAAACATCCAATACTTAACCAATCAAACTCTACTCGCCCTCGTGCGATCCATAACTTAAAAAAACTCTTCTCAAAGAACATTGTTCAGTCCCTTCTTCCGCGCATAACAAACTCGTGCTTCAGCCTCCCCTAGCGAGCATACAAGCCAACATTTAGTAGTTAGAATGCAACCTAAACGCTCGTTCATTTTCCAAACCTGTTAGCAAACCGTAGGCCGAACTACGGCTGCTCTGATCTCTCATGTCTGTTGAGAGTACGTAGGCATAGGATTGCGATAATCCTAGCGAGCACAATTCCCAAACCTTTACCCGTAGTCCCACGAACTACGAATGCTCTGATTTTCCACTTCTTACAAGTGAAGATACGTAGGCACAAGGGCCCCAATCCTTGGCGAGCACCCTATCTTAATAATCACCCCCTTTTCCCATTAGCAAGCAATTCCTTAAAAGATAAACAAACATAGCTAACTTCTCTCGCGAATTGATCAAGAGGTTCCCGTTAAGTACAACGGACGTAGAGGGTGCTAATACCTTCCCTCTATGTAATTGACTCCCGAACCTAGAATATTGGTTGCGATGACCATGTTCTTATCCCTTTTAAGGTTTTATCGATATTTTCCTATTCCATCCTTGAAATGAATAAAGTTCGGTGGCGACTCTGTTTTGAACAGTATTTTTCCGCGTCCATCGCGAGGATCGTATTTTTCGAGGTACGACAGATGGCGACTCTGCTGGGGACAATCTGCATAGCTCTATGCTAGAGAGAGTCAAGCCTAACTTGACTCGATTCGCAAGAGTTAGACCCGCTTGTTTGTGAATTTTCTTTTATTTGTTTTCTTGTCTTATTTATTTGCTATTTATCTGCTTGCTTTTATATATTCTATTATTATTCCTTGTGATGCTATTGGAGTTCTCTGATTTTGGGAATTTCGTGAGATGGCTCTACACCCGAGTCCGAGAAAAAAACATAGGATTAGAATGGTGGTTGTGTAATAGAATCCCTCTAGGAGTCTTTCTCGTTGGGAGGAAGCGAAAGCCCCACTTAGAGTTGATTCCCTAAGGATATTATTGTTGTGGTAAGTCTTTGCCATGGCAGTAGTATTTTCTAGGTTGAATCTATAACTCTAAGGACCGTCTACCTTTTTTCCATGGTGGTTGATAGTATTAACTCATGACTGTTATTTGGGCTTTGGGAAAGATTAGAGCTCCTGATACTGTTTTGCCGTATTATCTTCTTCATAATCATGGGGGTCTTCCCTTTGAATCTTTTGGCCATTTGGTTCTCAATGTTTCTTAGCATGTCAATGAGTGTAACGGTCCCTTGGATGCTATTGATAAAGAGGATCAAGATATCATCATTGCTGATGCCAAAGTTCCTTTGGTTGTTACGACTGGCCCAACACTGCATTATCCCGACCCTCCAAATCCAGCCAAGGTTATTTACATCAACAAAAAGGAAGCTCCTGTGTTGAGAGTGGAAAGAGGGGTGCCGGTCACGTTTTCCATACAGTCAGGGCATAATGTTGCGCTTTATGTTACTTCCGACCCCATTGGCGGGAATGCCACCCTGAGGAATCTGACTGAGACTATTTATGCTGGAGGTCCTGAGGCCTATGGAGTTCAGGCCAGTCCCACAGAACTAATTTGGGCTCCTGACAGGAACACTCCTGATCAGGTTTACTATCATTCAGTGTATGAGAAGAAAATGGGTTGGAGAGTAGAGGTTGTGGATGGGGGTTTATCTGACATGTATAACAACAGTGTTGTTCTTGATGATCAACAGGTTACCTTCTTTTGGACATTATCAAAGGACTCGATATCTATTGTTGCTCGTGGTGAAAAAAAGAGTGGTTATCTTGCTATAGGATTTGGCAGTGGAATGGTGAACAGTTTCACATATGTGGGATGGGTTGATGACAATGGTGTTGGTCGTGTTAACACTTATTGGATTGATGCATAGGATGCCTTGGGTATGCATCTTACAAACGAGAATTTCACACATGTGAGATGCAAAACAGAAAACGAAATTATTACTTTGGAATTTACTCGTCCCTTGGTTCCATCTAGGACGATTTAAGCTGACATGTACAATAACTCTAACCTGAGTATAGTCTTAAATCCAGGTCGACCATATTTATCTTCAGGAGGAAAGTATGTTCCACCCATTAAAGGTTTCAAGTCAGGAGAAAGAAACACAGTCAGAGGCCAACCTCCTCCCCCATATAAAGCCTACACATACGTCATGTATACCTGAAGAGATAAAGAAAAATCTAAGTGCATCTTCCTTTGTTACCAATGGAACCCCAAAATTATAGACCACAAATAGATAGACAGTGCTCTGACCTGGTAAAAATTTTATATAAAAGTTACCTTATCAACATCCGGTCGCTCCTCGCGATCCACCTATGGCATTGGTACAAGACAAAGTTGAGCAACTAGTATAACTAAAGGTGATTGTTAATGTAAGAACTCAAAGCAACAGAAAACATAAAGTGACCAAATTACCTTAATGCTAACAAACCCATCATTCAACTATTTCGCAATCCCTTCATTCTCAAAAGACTCAACCTCCATAACATGACACCTTATTCAAAATTCCCAAATTGTGATTGTCAAAATAATCTCATCAAAACATTGACATCAAAAGTATGAGTTCTAATAAGCCACACATACCAATGACAAGTGTTGTACCCAACTTCAAATCAAATAGCCATTAAACCCACATCACCACATGTAAACCAGAGGTTAATTAATTACACAATTAGGAAACTTTAATTTTCAAAAAACTAAATTAGGAAACTTTAATTTTCAAAAGGAAAAGGCAGAAAATTACTTGATAAAAAGATAGGTGCGTCTCGAGGCATGCTTTGGCGAAAGCTTCTTCTCCCCATGGATACAATCAACCTAAAACAGAATGAATGAATCAATTATTAATCAGTGAGAACTAAGTGGAATTGAAAAAACTGAAAAAAATGGAACTTACAGGGTTATGAGCATATTGAAGAAGGTAAGGGCTCTGTTCTAACGCAAGACGATTGGAGAACTTGTGTTGGTTGGAATGAGAAGTTGCCATGGAAAGAACCTTGGGGAGTGTGGCGTGAGAGTATGGGAGAGGGAATCGAGAGATTGGTTTGGTGAAGGCGAAGCGGTGTTGGTGATAGAAAAAGCGGTTGAGAACAGCGACAGAGGTTTGATGAAGCATGGAATTGAAGTGTGTTGTGGAGAAATAAATGGAGAGTGTCGGTGTTATGACAGAATTGATACTAGTAGTTTTGTTAGTCTTGGTTTCTCATTTTTGTGAATTGAATCATGTACACTAGTTCTCTTCTCAACACTTGGAATGGTTGGTTTCGTGACAAGTGTCTCTTGTTTGGTTGGTTTCATGACAAGTGTCTCTTGTTTGTCTTTGTCTATGTAATCCATATAAATCGATATCCATTCTAAATGATGGGGAAACTTCTTATGTTTAAATGAGATAATTACATTTTTTTAAAATTTTTTTTGTTTGAATAGCATTAAATGATTTATTGTTATATTTTTTGGGATCATTTTCATAAATTTTAAAATTTTCGGGTTAAATTTAAAATATGAAAATTATGGATTAATTTGTAATTTTAAAAATTTTAAGGGATTAATTTGTAAAATTTAAAAATTTATAAGAATTTATTTGTAATTTTTTGAAAATTTTAGGGGTGAATTTGAAATTATAATAAAATATGAGGACCATCTTACAAAAAATTGAAAAATTAATAATAAAAAATTTAATATTTGCATTATATAGCGTGAGAGAGCAATTCCAAATTCTTTACTTATTGGTGTCATTGAAAATTCCTTAAATTTAACTTGAATAAAATAATTCATAAATTTAAATTATTTTAACAATTCTCTATATTTTTTATCTAAACAATGAGTTTTGGTCAAGTCATTTTAAATGCTCTCAAAAGATTATTTTTTCTCATTAAAATGTTTCATCCAAACACACTATAAAAAAATACATAAATGCTTCGAGCGCACTATTTTACACCAAAGTACGTTCTAAGTGAGTTTTACCCCATATTTTTGTTAAAATTTAATTTGAAAATGCATCTCCAAGTTCACCAAATACGCACCACATGCATTCCTTATTAAACACACTCATTTTGCCATAAATTGATTTAGAGATGCATCCATGTATTCACACCAGTCAATAATTTTTTACATTATTTTAAAAATACATTTTTGTAATTGACGATGTGTTATAGTTATATTATCATATTAAATTTTATATAAATTAACTCATACGCTTATCAAATAATATTAAAATACCATTGATAAATGAATAAATTCGGAATACATAATGAGGTTAAAACATAGTACAAATGATAATAGTGCTCCTAATACATTACTGAGTATGTTGAACTCGGACGCCCTTGTTCCTACGTTGCCTCTGGTACTGCAATATCGCTTGTGCCTCCTCTATGATGGCATCTAGAACGTACATCACCTCATAGCCATCCAAAAAAACTTCTCTATCTATACCTACTTGCTCAGGCTCAATGATACATTGACATCTATGCAACACATCAACATTATGATATGCCTTAATTTATTTGTCCTCTAGTATCTCTTGATGAGCTGACCTATGTGGATCTTCTAGAGCATACGGCATCATATAAGGATGTAACACCTTGAAAAACCATTGGTTGTAGTCGTGTGCACCACTTCATTCGTTAGGAGTTATGGTACCATGTATCGCATCTGGTTCTAGATGGTTAAGGTAATCATTATACATGACATTCATATCTCTGCGTGCCATAGCGGGAGGAGCAGACTCAGAGGGTCTTTCGGAATAAATTGCATGTAGTCAAACTCTTGAGTGAAACGCTTAGGTAGGTGTGGAAACATCAAATGTGACCCACAAGCCAATCATCCAAAGTAGAAGGCTATGTCGTCCAATGGTGTGTCTAACGGTGGCTTGTGTATGTCTAAAAGTGTATATCTTCTGCTACCAAGCGGTTAAAAGACACTCATAAGGACTCTGTCGCCTGATTTCCTCTAAGCGATACGAGTGCAGAAGCACGTGGCATATCCTCGGTGAAGGTGATAACTTCACCCCGACCTTAGAAACCACGAACGAATTCGCCATCGAACGCTTTAGTTTTAAGAACGACATCATCGACCACCATAATAAGAAAATTGAAGATGTCTCTAACCAAGAACATATTGTCTTCCTAACCCTCTAGTTGTCCTACTACTTTTTCTGCTCTAGCTATAGCTAAAAAGTATGTCCCTTTAATCATTCAACTTCATGAGGGTCAAAAGATCTCACTGAACAAACTACTTTTGGTCAACCTTTGCCAATCAATTGGCAATTCCTTTTACAAATTGAAACATCTCCCTGACACCAACAAGTCATACCTTCTTTCTGGCCCTTTATGACTCCTACAACTCTGGCTAAGCGCCACATTCGGTCCAAAATTCCATGAAACTGACTCTCAGGCCTTGATGGAAGAAAATAATTGCAAAGACATTGAAGGCACAAGACTTGCTTTAGTTACCCCTTATAACACTCCGTCGCAGATAAATTTTATGATGTATATCCAATTACTCTTCGAATTTACCATTTTTGTTTCGACCATGGTTCCCTTCGTGGACAGATGTGTTGGTCCATCTTGGTTTAAAAACAGATTTCTTGGCGTAACGCCTTCAGCTGCTGCAATTTCAAACTCTGTATGGGCAGCTTTCCTAACCCTAACACTTTTATCTACTTGAAATGAGATTGGAACAACCGGTTTCAGCTTCGTCGGCTACCAACCCAACTTGGTGGCTAAATAATTTGGTTTTAGCCAAATACTGCCACACTCACTTTATACTCGGGAGGCTGACATTTTCTAGTCAGAAAGGAAGTTCACTACCCAAGAAAACAAGGACTGCATGATGTTTGCTCGTAATCAAGTCCTTAAATTATTGACTTTCCATTTTCAACCATACTCCTGCATGATGGTAGAATTCAACAACTAGTGGACGACTTACTTTGAAGGAAACAACTCTGGAGATAACTTTCTCAAATGATTGTCAACTATCTTCTCCCATCTAAAAACATTCAGAGAAGAAACATAGGTATGCATTAACCATTCATTTGAATTGTTTTTTATGCACCCTTTCAATTTTTCATAAATTTTGATTATATGTGAACTGAAGCAAAAGACGACACCAATGTCGAAGGTCATTCTAATACTAGTGAGTCAAAGAAATAAAAAGAACCCCAAAAGAAAAAGGCAAGTATATTCCATTTATACATTAAGTAATATAAAAATGATTCTAACATACTTTTTCTTCCAAAATCGACCACGTGATCCTGACTCTCCAACAACATCAGAACTTAAAAAGAACAAGAAATCCAAAAAGGCTACATCAACATAGACACATATCTGATCTCCATTTGATGGTTTTGATCATTTCACGATCTAACCAAATCCTTTCTAGACTACTCCAAAACCAACAAAAAACTTGGCTGAAATCGAAAGCTCAGAAGATAATGAGAAAACTCGCATCTTCTCAAGACCTAAGCTCAAAGCTTCTCCTAAACCAAGTTCCAGCAAGAAGAAAGATGCTCCTTAAAAACCAAAATCCAAAAAAGGAAATAAACACTTTGACTGCTAGCCCTTCTAACAAAGGGAAAGGAGAAAAAAAAGAATTGCTCATTCCTGATGACCTAGCGTAGGACAGGCCCTAAAACCTTCCAATTAAATAACAAGAGAAAATTGATCCCAAGGTATTTACCTATCCAAAGCAACAAACATTTCTTCATGTTTTTTCAACTTTAAACTCCACTAACCAATCTCCTACCTTTCAGGAACCATCAAAGCTAAACGAGAATGTGGTGGATGAATTAACAGGTATCCCCCATTCGATTCCTTCTTAATCCTTTTCTCACATTCATTGTTTATACTTTCTTGATTCAACTATTTCACATGTCCATCCAACAAACCAACCATCCAATGAAAAAGCAGATGTTGATCCACCATCAAACCCTAAAGCAAGGCCAATGTGAAACAACAATATCCACAATGAAACAAAGAATTATACGACACTCTGGATTTCGTCCAAGATAACCTAACTCAATATGAACCAAAGCCTAAAAGCCTAGAGAAAATGGACGGAGAGCAAGACAACCCTAATGTCGATACTGCTTCGACAGAAGAGAAAATCCAGCCATCCACCGACGAAAAGGATTAGACTTAAACTGTTGTTCATGACTCGTCATCCAACACCTCCCTAAGCCAAGAAGAAATGTTTTCCCTCAAAAGAAAATATCCTACAGAGGCACTAAGGAGAATTCAGAAACTTCACAAGCTTTCAACTTGCTTAAGATCTTCTCATTCATCTGATGCTTCATTGGCTTATATAGGTGAAGATTCATTAAACCTTTTGATCCAGCAACTAAAAGCAAGTATCTTTGCAGTTGATCTCTTAAATGCTATTGAAGAAGACACTCAACTTGGAACTAACATTCGAAATTTGTTGGCCGAACTTAACAAGAAAAGGGTTCCCGATCCTATGGTTCAATTCTTGTTCGAATTTGAAGCCTACTTCGACCAGATCTGCAAAGACATCGACCTCAAAAGGACTGACGGCATCCGACTCCAAAAAGTGAAAGATAATGTGGCTGTAGCATGGTACTTGAGTTGTGCGTCTGAAAAGGAGGTCAAAAGGCTTGAAACCAAACTCCAGGAATACACCGACAAAAAGGCATTACTCGGTGACCATATTTCACAACATCGAGCCAAAATTCTTGAATTGACAACTAGGAAAATGAAAAGGCTGAACTTACATGGGAAAAGTCCTTGCCTACCAGAAAAATGGTTGATAAGGAGGCGAAGCATTGTTGGTGATAGAAAAAGCAGCTGAGAACAACGACAGAGGTTTGATGAAGCATGGAATTGGAGTGTGTTGTAGAGAAATAAATGCAGAGTTTTAGTGTAATGACTTATGATAGATTTGATACTAGTAGTTTTGTTAGTCTTGTTTTCTCATTTTGGTGAGTTGCGCCATGTACACTAATTCTCTTCTCAACACTTGGAATGGTTGGTTTTGTAACAGCCTACTCTACCCATTCGTATAATAATTGAAAAATACAAAAATAATACGGAACCAAATCAGAGTTAACACATGTAGGATGCGACATTCCAAAAACAATGTCAACCTAAAGTATTAAATCAC